AACATAAATATGTTCTGGTTTAAACTTTTTCTCAATGAGTTCTTTAAAAGCTTTATCATAATGGTCTTGATAAGTTACTGGAGTTTGACAAAGATCGAGTTTTGTGATAATACCAAATGCACGTTGCATTGCTTCGAAGTGATTTTCTTGAATTTCCTGAAGAAGACGAATTTGTGGCTGAGTCAGACTTGGTTGTTGACCATTGGTAAGGAAAAGAAAGGCATCAGCTGTTTTTATAGCTTGTAGACCAGCATCACGATGTTCTTTGATAGGAGAATCAAAACCAGGAACGTCGAGGAGTTCATAATTCTTACCTGTTAAATACAAAAAAAGTAGAAACAAAATTAATTTTATTGCTTATAACGTGATTTTTTCTTATCAGTGACTGTACTACTATATCTACTTTGATATGACGAATACCATCAATGCGCTTTTGAGAGGACGAAGTGTCGAGAAAAGTAGTGAGTAAACTAATGATGAACAAAAGGGTCATTGCAGAGGATAAATCCTGATCTGCAGTACTCAACTCATCAAATGGTGTATCTCCTTTAAATATCTTGTCTATTGTTTTACGACAGAACATTCTCAACAGTCGAACGTCGTTTGACTCAATATTTTGGCTATGAATAGGACTCAGTGAGAAGAAGAAAACCCTAGAAGAATTCATGCCTATGGCCAATTGATCATAAGTAATGACTGTTTTACTGAATTTTTGACCTATTCGTAAATATTCACAAGAAAATGGAATTTTATCCAAAGATAGATCTAATTATCTTTAGAATATTCTGAAAGTTTTACTAGAAAAGAATGTTTCTTTCTCGAGATATTGTGTGCTCAAAAACTAGTAGTTGCTTGTGATAGATTTATTCCAAAAATTGAGTGTACATGAATAATCAATATCTCGAGAAAGAAACATTCATATCACGTACGATGGATGATATCGAATTGCTAGAAGCGTTCTGTGAAACATTTTAAGGATTTTTCTGTACATACAGACGGTATTAGAATATCTGTCGTATGCTTTTTTTTGTCGCACATGTTCGAGCTATAGGTAAGCCGCATCTCATTCTTTCTTTTCTCTCTATACTTCGTTTTTTCCTTCTTTTTTTTCTTTCAAGCACTCGTTGAGTGTTCACAAGAAAAAAAATTTATTATTTATTATTCTTTGTAAATATTATTGAACTAGAATCATTCTGAATGACTTCTTCTTCAAATAATATTTTACAAAATTATTCAAATGAAACCTCAGTGGTTTCGGCTCCAGTCTCAACAAATATGGTTATTGGTTTACCAACTGTACCTATAAAAATGGACTTTCGTCCAATGTCTCACTTGATGGTTTCCAACAAGTAGAAAATAAAAATAAAAATAAAATCAAACACAATCTTGCGACATCTCCGATTAAGAAAAAACGTACACATTATCAAGTAAATGTTGTTTCAAATCCTGTTGCACCTTCACCTGTGTCTTCTACGATAATCGCTGTTGCTGCTAAACCTTTACCTCATAAGGCAATTCAAAAAGTGGAAGGTATTCATCATGCACAAGGTATTTAACAAGTTCAAAATACTCAAGAATTACAAGAAATTCATCGATTCTCAGGTGGTCCACAAGTTCAAGATGCTCTACCTTCATTTGATCCACATAAGATTTCAATCACTACTGAATCCGCTCGTTATGCACAAACATGTTACCCATTTTCCCCCTTTATCATCAGATTCAATGCTGGTAAAGTTATATCGAACCAAATTAAAGAAGGTTTAATTGCTTATTGTAACTAAAAGTATCAAATGGAAATCAATATCTTAAATTATTGTTTCTTTAATAGAAGTTCCAACAATGAATATGATTTTCTTCTTTCCTTAAAAAAGGCTTCTTCGTTCTCTTTTCTATTAGATGGCAATTACTGGCCTAATGCCTTTAGTAATGAAAATTATACATTTCCATTTTCTCCGTCTATTCCATCACAGTTATCATTGTTAATCAAAAATGTAGATCTTCGATTGGGTTTCAATGAATTTTGTCAAGAAATTCAAACTTGTTATCCACAAGTTAAAAATATTATTAGATTAAAAAATAAATTTAACAATGATATTAAATTAGTCAAACTTGAGGGCGTGGGTTGGGTGTGGGTGTGGATGTGGGTGTGGATGTGGGTGTGGGCGTGGATGTGGGTGTGGGTGTGGGTGTGGGTGTGGGTGTGGGTGTGGGTGTGGGTGGGAGGGGGAGGGGGGGGGGGTGGGTGTGGGTGTGAGTGTGGGGTGTGGGTCGTGGGGGGTGGTGGT